GCCCATATAGTCCTCGGTCATGGAATCACCGCCTGTTTTGGGGTTTACATATGATTTCAATTGACACAAGAGGATATGAATGTCAGTCTCAGAATCGACATAAAAGTCTATGCGATCCTTTTCCTTCTGATGCAGCACTACGTCTTTCTCTGAACATTCTCCCCAATTGAACTCTGAAATGTCTAGCTTTTGGATGGCCAATTCATCACAGTCCGAGTTGGTCATGGTGTGTACTGCCAGCAAGAACTCCGACTCTACGTTCCGCTGCATCGCTGAAGGAATCAAGTAGCACGTTGAATACGATGGAACAGTAATGATGCCGGACATTTCACGTGAGTTGAGAAAAAGACTTTTAAAGATCGACTGATGATTGTTGCTAGTGATAAAAAAGGTTGGTATGGGCTCAGGAAAGGTTGGGCGGAGAAATATAAAGCCACACTGTAGATATTTGGCACCTTGCTCCGGATCCGCTGTGCGACGTTGATCGTCTTGCTTGATTGAAACCACAATCTCTGCATCAGTTGAGCCTGTGTTTTGAACTAAATAGAGGGGGTTTTTACGCCATGTCACATTTAACGGATTGCCACCGGCCGTCTCGCCACGCCATTCATCCCTGTAGTATGTTGCCTGAGGTTCCACTGCCATACAACAAAGCTGAAAAGACATGCATATTTTTAAAAAAAGTGTTAGCGGCAAGAAGATTAAATTACGATCGCCCACACCATAAGTACTAATGAGCGTTTGCGTCCATGTGGGGTCATCAGGTTTTAGTCGGCCTTTATATTCATCCGTCTCAAATGGGTTGTAAGTCTGAATGAATATATCCTCCAAGGTTGTGGAGCCGATGGGTTCCATTGAATAAATACCAAGAATAGCATAGACCTGATCCTTTTGCATACCGACCTCCTCTGCGGAGTCATTAGTGATCATTGAGGCGATGTATTCCCCTTGAGACAGAGAGGATCCGATCCCCATCCAGTAACTGGAGTTCTGGATATCCACCCCAATTGACTTGGAGAGCCTGACGTTCACGGGGATATTTAACACAGGGTTGCTT